TCTACCTTATATTAAATCCATACAATGTTATTAAATCTTATATAGATCACTTTTGCACAGTGCGATATTCGATAAAATTCTCTCAGTTTCTAGAAAAATTTCGTAACGAAAGTTGAACAACCGGATAAAAAAGAAACGTCTGCATCTCTATGACCGAATTGAATAATATTTATCAAACCGTCAAGTTTAACCCTTTGCACTCGGAGATCTCTTTGCTATAGGAAAGATTGTAGATCGGATCTTTTTTGAAATTTTTTAAAACTGACGTATAAACTATACTATTTTACTTCAATGTTCGATGTATATTCTATTTTACTCTGATGAACAAATTTACGGAGGCCCCTGCTCCCTGTCTTGATTCATTATTTACCATGTGACAATTATTTCAGTCGCCCACTCGATTGCCAAGGGTTAAAGATAGTCTAACTCTGTATTATAGTAGATATAATTTCGATCAGTATCAATTAGTAACATGGAAGAATTTACAAATTTTTTGAAATTTGTAATTTTAATTAAAAATTTAGGTAGTGTTGTAAATTTCGGTACAGATCGATTGATGATATCGAAGAATTTCGAGAACTGTAAAAATATTCTTCACAAATACACTCCAATTTTTCTGCGAAACTTTCTTCAAAAACCACTCCAATTTAGTCCAAGATTCACCAAAATATTCGCGTCAATCGAATTAAAAATACGACAAGCTTAGAATAGTTTGCAAAAGCATGTCTTACGTTCTCCATGCTGCTCGGTCGTTTGATCGAGACACGATTTCTCCAGCGTCTCGAAAAGCGTGTAAGATGAAAGATCGATAAGTAATTTTGTTGAAACATCGATTTCACCTGGCGTCGTTATCGTTATAAAATTGCTGCATTATTATCTTATACTTAACTGTTACAATTTCACGTTCGATAACTAATGACGGAATCATCGATCATATACTTGCGTCTCCTATCATTGAAAAATTCAGCAAGTTTCATAATTATCGTTCATTTTTTTCCCTAATAGAACAGTTCGAAGAAACTAAAGACACTTGTGGAGTACTTTCACTGTTATTTACCTTTGCTCGTGATCAAATGGTACCTTATAATTTTTAGAGAAGAAAGGAAACGAAAGAGGGGTAGAAAATCATTGTTCATTTTTTAATGGAGAATCGCTTCGTTGAGTGGTAGCCTTGTAAAGTATCATTTGATGGTATCGTGCATGAGAAATGAAGTGGAAAAGTAGATTTGTTCGAACGGTGAATTTACGTGTGCCTCGACTAAAATGCAAATTTGCGGTGAAGAAGATTCTCGGATGAGAGGATCGAAGAAAATAGAAATTTGCGGTGAAAAATTTTCTCCGATGGGAAACTCGAACGAAACTTGTGCTTTCCTTGAATTCTCAAATTTTCAACTGTATCACGCTCGATTCGGTGCAAGAATGAAAAGTTCAAAAGAGCGCGATTTCTTATTGCGCTATTTAAAAAAATTTGCGAATAGAAGAGCGAAGAGAAAAACAAAAAAACAGTGAAAAATAGTTTCTGAAATATTTCGGTCTTTATTTATAATACAAAATTTCATTAGGTTGGGTTGGGCAAAAATCTTCGAATCGTTTAGAATAATGTATACAATCTAATTTTTGTATACTTTCTGTACAGTAACTGTAGATCGCTGAAAAAACTAATTGTTCGTTACGATATACGTTGTAACACGAAGGAACACAGTGTATTCCAGTGAATTGCAATCGAAAGTCTGTGTTGCACTGTACTATTTCGTTACGCTTTTCTTGTTCTCTTTGTATCATTGCTTGCAACGTAGTTAAAACCCCGAACTAAGATTTCACGATCTATCAAACGTCAGACTAATCAACAAACATTCTCGAGTATCTGATGCTAAAATTGTCAGGTGTAAAAGACCCTTTTCGTCGAAATCCTTGGTATAGTTCGTGGAAGAAATATAACGAGGTCGTAAATTAAAGCATTAACTAGCAGCACCGATTGATGCAGTAACATCCAGGGTCGAACGAGACATTTTCATTTCTCCATTAGGACTGAATCAAAGATAAGACATATTTCAGCCAGTCAGATACCAAATTGGTTAAGTCAATTTGTAATTTTTACAATTTTAGCACCAATGTACATGATCAGAATCCGGATGTATTCTTCAGAGATATAAACAGAATTGAGAGCCTTGTAGTATCGTTCGTAAATTTAACTCACAAACTGTATCAAATACGCGTAAAGACCAAATGCTGCGAGAAAAGCCTCGTGTATCTAACTTTTTCTGGATACTTCGGAAGTGACGTGGTGCAAATGATTACTCGCAAAGTGGGTAACAAAAATATATTTATTTAAACGGTAATGCTTAAACTAATGCGATACGATGCGCGTAGAAAGGAAGTCTGCGACAAAAGGCCCCGCTTAAGTAGCCCCTTTCTCCCTGGGAAAGTCCCAGGAAGTGGAGGCGCGGGACTGCATTTCCGAGGCAATACTCTTGTCCTCGAGGACGATGTTTGGAAAAACATCTCTCGATTCTTCGCCTCGAGGGCCAAGAGTCGCCAGGCCTAAGTCATTCGCGTAACTTACTATTCGCAGTGATTCCAAACATTTGGCCGTTAGTGTATATTCGGTTCTGTGATGCCCGGTTTGCTCCAGTTCCTCGAAACTAGGAGCAGATATCGGGGTATCGCTGAGTTAAAACACTTACGGATCGTCGTTGCGTGAAAGAGAGATTTTTGATGATACGTGACGTGCGCGTGGTAGAATGGAGATTCTGTGATGCCCGGTTTGCTCCAGTTCCTCGAAACTAGGAGCAGATATCGGGGTATCACTGAGTTAAAACACTTAGGGATCGTCGTTGCGTGAAAGAGAGATTTTTGATGATACGTGACGTGCGCGTGGTAGAATGGAGAATGAATGCGGAAACGGAGAAAATAGGGCTATTTAAGGGTCCTGGGAAGATGGATTTTGGGTTGTGACTATGCAGGAGAGTTGGAAGGTGAGGAGTCCAGTATGAGTAATGGCGAAAGTGGGTGACTAGTGAATACAGGTAAACTAAGGACTAAGAATGAAAATATTTGAGGGTGTGTAACAGTTCGATTGTTAATGTGTGAAGATACAAGCTGGGAAAAGTTGTTTCCCACGCTGGAATGTATTGAACTAATCAAGTCTTTAACCCTTTCGCGGCGGAATAATATTTTTTCTCAGAAATTTCTATTTCTTTACCAATAATCGCGTCTGTAACGAATACTAAATTGAAATCAATTCCCTTTCGAGCATTCAAGTGAGATATATGCGTCTCGCTGATCGGCAAAGGGTTAAATTAACGATAAGCGATACTTTCACACGAAAATTGATCCACTCCACGTTTCACGAGTTTTATCTACGTTATTCGTTATTCCATTAGTCCATCAGGAAATTACGAGCGTTTATTATAACAATGTCCTCGGGAAAATGTTACAAGAGATCGTTCGATAGACGAAATTACAGTGTTATCTTTTTTGGTGTTGAAAATAGTTGTAAATTTGTTCTCTAATAAGCACGTAAATACTGGTACTTAAATCCTTCTGCGATTCGAGAATTTCCGTGCAATTTATGGAATTTGTTTGCGTGATATACGACGCGTGTAATCACGTGTGTAAATTATAAAGTTTGCAACGCGTGTTGGATGCTTGCAAAGCTTTTTTGGTGTCTAGAAACAGTCAAAATTATCCCTCTGTTTTCGCGATTCATTTTTTCTCCATTTTTACCGAGATTTCCTTGTCTTTCTCTCTTTAAATGGTCAGTTTCTTCGTGAATTTTAAAATCTTCTGCATTTCAAGTATTACCTCGTATTCTGAAATCCTGAAATTCAGATTCAAAGTAAAACGTCGACTGGATTTTAATATTTTCAAATTCACAGATTCGAAGGGAAAATCTTCAGATTCACAAATTTGAAGAAAA